CGATGGCTCACGTCGGATCGCGCCCAGGAGTCCTAGTGAGTGAGGCTTTCCTGGCCACCCCTCTTCTCCCCGCGTTTTCCTGCTCTCTCGCCTCGTAGTGGTAAGCGGTGCGGCCCCACGTGCCCACTGTCCCGCCACTTGGCTGGTCGGCCCTAGCCTGCGCTCTCTGGGCTGTTCGGTTTGAGCTGGCGCCACTGTGCGTCTTCTCTCCGTCTGCTCCTGTCTGGTGCTTGCGTTCCTTCCCGGGTCGCTCGCATCTTATGGGAGGCATTTTGCCTTTTGCAGGTGCACCTGCTGCGGCGGCCTAGGCGCCTTCGTAACTAATTATCTCGCCTGTTGTGCCCCAGACGTGCTTGCCCCGCTTCCTGGACTCTTCATTGGAGCCGCCAATCAAAAAATATCCCGGCAAAGCAACCTAACAGCGATGTGTAGGAGCATATCTGGAAGCATTCCCCTTCATATTCAGATGAGAAGCCAGTTGTAGAATTCTGCTGTTCTCGCAGTCGTAGTCGCATTCGCGATGACAGTCGCAGCGGCAACGGCAGTCGCAGTCACAGCGTCAGCCTCGGCCTGCCTCAGCCTCAGTCTGCCTCAGCCTCAGCCTCAGCCTGCTTCACCCTCAGCATCAGTCTGCCTTCAGCCTCGGCCTCAGCCTCCGCCTTCCTCAGCCTCAGCCTGCATCAGCCTCAGCCTCAGCCTCAGCCTGCCTCAGCCTCAGCCTCAGCCTCCGCCTCAGCCTCAGCCTCAGCCTCAGCCTGCTTCAGCCTCAGCCTCAGCCTGCTTGAGCCTCAGCCTCAGCCTGCCGTCGGCCTCGGCCTCAGCCTCAGGCTGCCTCAGCCTCAGCCTCAGCCTGCCTCAGCCTCCGCCCGCCTCAGCATCAGCCTCAGCCTCAGCCTGCCTCAGCCTCAGCCTCAGTCTGCCGTCGGCCTCGGCCTCAGCCTCAGGCTGCCTCAGCCTCAGCCTGCATCAGCCTCAGCCTCAGCCTCAGCCTGCCTCAGCATCAGCCTGCTCAGCCTCAGCCTCAGCCTGCCTCTGCCTCAGCCTCAGCCTGCTTCAGCCTCAGCCTCAGTCTGCCTTCAGCCTCGGCCTCAGCCTTAGCCTGCCTCAGCCTCAGCCTGCATCAGCCTCAGCCTCAGCCTCAGCCTGCCTCAGCATCAGCCTGCCTCAGCCTCAGCCTCAGCCTGCCTCAGCCTCAGCCTCAGCCTGCTTCAGCCTCAGCCTCAGTCTGCCTTCAGCCTCGGCCTCAGCCTCAGCCTCAGCCTGCCTCAGCCTCAGCCTCAGCCTCAGCCTCAGCCTCAGCCTGCCTCAGCCTCAGCCTGCCTCAGCCTCAGCCTCAGCCTCAGCCTCAGCCTCAGCCTCAGCCTGCTTCAGCCTCAGCCTCAGTCTGCCTTCAGCCTCGGCCTCAGCCTCAGCCTGCCTCAGCCTCAGCCTGCATCAGCCTCAGCCTCAGCCTCAGCCTGCCTCAGCATCAGCCTGCCTCTCAGCCTCAGCCTGCCTCAGCCTCAGCCTCAGCCTGCTTCAGCCTCAGCCTCAGCCTCAGCCTTCAGCCTCAGCCTCAGCCTCAGCCTCAGCCTCAGCCTCAGCCTCAGCCTGCCTCAGCCTCAGCATCAGCCTGCCTCAGCAGCCCGGGAATGGAGTTCTGGGAACTAGCCTGCCTCAGCATCAGCCTGCCTCAGCCTCAGCCTCAGCCTGCCTCAGCCTCAGCCTCAGCCTCAGCCTGCTTCAGCCTCAGCCTCAGTCTGCCTTCAGCCTCGGGCTCAGCCTCAGCCTGCCGCAGCCTCAGCCTGCATCAGCCTCAGCCTCAGCCTCAGCCTGCCTCAGCATCAGCCTGCCTCAGCCTCAGCCTCAGCCTGCCTCAGCCTCAGCCTCAGTTTCAGTCTGCCCTCAGCCTCGGCCTCAACCTCAGCCTGCCCCAGCCTCAGCTCCAGCCTGCCTCAGCATTCAAAATGTGGCCCGGGAGTGTTGTTCTGGGAACTCGAAGAACACGAAGTGGCCTACAGTTGGCTCCGGGCATTCAAAATGTGGCCCGGGAAGGGAGTTCTGGGAACCCAAGACCACGAAGTGGCTTACACTTGGCTCGGGGCACCCAAAATGTGGCCCGGGAATGGAGTTCTGGAAACTCGAAGTCCACGAAGTGGCCTACAGTTGGCTCCGGGCATCCAAAATGTGGCCCGGGAATGGAGTTCTGGGAACTCGAAGACCACGAAGTGGCCTACAGTTGGCTCCGAGCATCCACAATGTACGCCGGGAATGGAGTTCTGGGAACTCGAAGACCACGAAGTGGCCTAGAGTTGGCTCCGGGCATCCAAACTGTACGCCGGGAGTGGAGTTCTAGCAGCGCCAAGATCGATTTTGCGAGGATGTCCTAGGCGATTTGGGCTTCGGCGGCAGCCGCCCCGGGTCCCGCCCCGACCCCCCTGAGGAGTCATGATGTTTTTTTTTGACACCACTAGAAACCTATCAGTCTTCGCTGTTAGGTAAAAGTATCGCCACCAGCCCTTCGGCGCGGCCCGCCTTAGCTTGCACGGCGTTCGACTCGTCTTCGCGCGTCCGCGTACCAACACAAATCTATCCCCACCAGCCCATCCAGAAACAGATCGCCAGGCGAGTTGCCTGCACCAGGGAAGCGTACAAGCACGCAGTGTAAACAACCGCCTTCGCAGTGTTGTTTCGGAGGTCTTATGGAGCCCCCTTTGGGCAGTCTTGGGTCCCTCGCGGAGCCAGTTGGGGCCCTCTTGTTGGGGCTCTTTTGAAGGGCAGGTCGGACAAATGCAGCCCCCCCCCCCCCTCGGAGGCTCAAAGCGCGCGTATTGGGGCCCTCTTGGGATGCTCTCGGAGCGCTCTTGGGGCCCTCTCGGGGCCGTCTCGGGCCCCTGTTAGGACTCTCTTCGGCCGTCTTGGGACCATCGCAAGGCCTCAAGAGCCCATCGGAAGCGAAACGGCGAGCAGGCAAAGAATCATTGAGCTTTTTCTTCTGCTGGAGCCATTTGGGCCTCTTGGGGGTCCCTGGAGGGCTCGGAGGGCACTCGAAACCGTCTTGGGGCCATCTTGAGGCCTCGTGGACGTTTGTCGGAGGCTAGCTTGAGCCATCTTGAAGTCGATGGCGCCATAGGGGGGGCCAGCGTGGGTTCCCGGAGGCCCTCTCGGAGCCACCTCAGGCCATGTTGTGCGCTCTGACTGCCCGCGCCCCGCCCCCCTCCCAGGCCCAGGGGAGGGGGCAGAGGGAGGGGTCAAGACACCCTTCGCGATAGCAAGCCGCGCAGCTTACTCTCCACGCCTCCCTCCCAACACATGAGTAGCACTCGAGCCTCGGCGCGGTCAACGGTCCTCTTTGGATGGGCATCTATTGGGAACCAAAACCGAGCCCACGTGCGCGACAATGGGGCGAGGTGTGCCGCGCGTGCCAGGCGCGCCACGCGCGCCAGGCACCCCCGGGGCCCGAGCGTGCGAGGCACGCCTGGCGCGCCAGATCCGCCGCGTGCCTCCGCGTGCGCCAGGCGTGCCGCATACTCCAGCCGTGCCAGGTGCGCCATGTTCGGGGCACGTGCAGAGTGTGTCAGGTGCGCCTGCGTACGTGACAGCACTGATCGGGGAACATTTCGACCTCCATCATCCCTGTAGAAAGCCAGAGTCCATCATTGTGTCTGGTGGGCCTGCGCACGGCAGGCCATACGCCACCACCCCCGCCGTCCTTGCCAAGAACCATTTTACAGTGATCGCGGGGTGGCCGCGCATGATCTAGATCCAGCCGCGAGGTGCATGTTGCATGTTTTTGTCAAGGGTGGTAGCCCTGCGCACAGCAGGCAATGTGCTGTTACCCCCGCCGCCCCTGCCAACAAGCAATACAAAATGCGGGCCTTACGAGCATGACTCCGGATGTTGCCCATAAGTGTGCTTTGTATTGTTTTTGTGACAGGGATGGTGGGGGGGCTGCATCGGGTTGGCTGCGCATGCCCCGAATTTGGAGGCATAGTGTGTGCTCGTCTTGTTGTTGGCAAGGATGTTTGAGGGTGGGGTTATCATGGGGTGGCCTGGGGGAGGGGGTGTATATCAATAAGGAACTGCGATAAACCTTCCCCGAGCAGGGGAGAAAACGATTTTAGCAGAAAGAATACACCAGTTCATTAAACCACCTACGCCCAGAGGGCTCGTGGGGTTCGATGTCTCAGCGATCAGTTTTTTTTGTTGTTAAAGTTTCTGGGGTACGCGCATCACTCTGCCATGAGGCTTGTCGGGTGCATTTGATATATTGTCGGAAGCACCGTCCATGTATGTCTTCGACCTTGTCTGCGCAACTGCGTGCGTGTGCGTGTGCGTGTGTGTGTGTGTGTGTGTATGTGTGTGTATGTGTGTGTGTGCGTGTGTGCGTGCGTGCGTGCGTGCGTGCGTGCGTGTGCGTGTGCGTGTGCGTGTGCGTGTGCGTGTGTGTGTGTGTACGTGTGCGTGTGTGTGTGCATGTGTGCGTGTGTGCGTGTGTGCGTGTGTGCGTGTGTGTGTGTGTGTGTGCGTGTGCGTGTGCGTGTGTGGGTGCTGGTGCGGGTGCGGGTGCGTGTGCGTGTGTGTGTGTGTGTGCCAGTGTGTGTGTGTGTGTGCCTGTGCGCATGTGTGTGTGTGTGAGTGTGTGTGTGTGTGTGAGCGTGTGTGTTCGCCCGTTCCTTGGCAAAACATACACATCACCCACACCACGCACAACACATGTTACACATTGCATTGCACACGTCGTTATTTCGAATAGCCAGCCGTCATATTTACGAGGGGCACATGCCAGGTGCATAGCGCGACCGGCCAGCGTGTGCGCTACGCACCCATGCGGTCAACGATTTGCCAGATGAGTTTACAGACGGGGCATTTTGACGACGGGCACGAGAAGGAGGTCGACACGCGGGCGGTCTCGCGGGCATTGCGGGCGTCTTGCTCTGCTGAGCCGATCGTGAATGCGTCGTCCCTTGCGGCATGAGCCGCCGCGCCTCGCCACGCGCGTGCGACCCCTTCCTGCAGAGGGGAGCGCGAGCGCGCCCGCCAGTCTCGGGTCCGGCCGAAGCAGGTCCCAGCGGCAGATATCCCTGGGGCCCGAGACCGGCTGCGCGTAGGAGTGTCCTTGTCGCCAGAGCGACTCCGAGAGTGCGGGCCCACAGGGGGCCCCGTTAGGTCCCCCGCGCCCTGGCCGGCGCGCTTGGAATTCGGCCTCCCGCGGCCCCCCAAGGCCGCGCACCAGAGGTCACTCTTGCCGAGGGCCACTCTCGCGCTGGGCTGACCAACCCCGAGATCCGACGTTGCGAACCGATTGCAGCATCGCACAGAATCACCAGTGGAGCCCCAGTAGGCCCCATCTTTCTGAGGTATGCTTCCAACCGGATCGACATGTGAGGGTTCCCAGGCCGACAACCAGGTGAAAACGCCCGGTGTGAAACAATTAGCTCGGCGAAGGGCCCAACCATCTGCAGATGTGGGTACCGTCGTTGTGAGTATCGTCGTCGGTGGATCTCTTTATAGGGCCACAAAGCGCGTGAAGGGTGTGCCGAAATGTGACGGGGCCGCCATGTGGGTGATGCCACCTGGGGCCTTAGGTGGAGCTCCCTATGGGGCCGCGACACGTGTGAGGGGTCGTGGAAATGGAAGGTGGAACCGCATGCGGGCGTTGCCATTGGAGCTTTCAGTGCAGCCCCCTGCGGGGCCATGAAACGTGCGAGGGGTGCACCGACATGGGGGTGCAACCGCATGCGGGCGCTGCCGCGGGGTCTCTCGGTGGAGCTCCTTGTGGGGCCACGAGACGTACGAGGGGTTCGCCGAAATGGAGGGTGTAACCGCATGCGGGCGCTGCTTCTGGGGCCTTAGGTGGAACTCCCTATGGGGCCATGGAACGTGTGGGGGGTGAACCGACATTGGTTGGAACCGCACGCGGGCGCTGCCACTGCGGCCTTCGGTGGAGCTCCCTCTAGGGCCACGACACGTGTGAGCGGTGCACCGAAATGGCGAGTGGAACCGAATGCGGACGCTGCCATTGGGGCCTTCGGTGGAGCTCCCCATGGGGCCACGAAACGTGTGAAGGGTTTTGCCGAAATGCTGAGGGTGGAACCGCATGCAAGCGCTGCCCCTGGGCCCTTAGGTGGAGCGCCCTATGGGGCCACGACACGTGTGAGGGTTGCACCGGCAATTAGTTGGAACTGCATGCGGACGCTGTCACTGGAGCCTTCGGTGGAGCTCCCTATGGGGCCACGAAGCGTGTGAGAGGTGTGCTGACATGTAGGGCGGAACCGCATGTGGGCGTTGCCACTGGGGCCCCTGGTGGAGCTCCCAATCGGGCCACAGAGCGTGTGAGGGATGTACCGAATTCGGGGTGGAACTGCATGCGGGCGATGCCACTCGAGCCGTACGTGGAGCTCGCTACATGGCCACGACACGTGTGAGGGGTTCGCCGAAATGTAGGGTGGGACTGCATGCGGGCGCTTCCGCTGAACCCTTCGGTGGAGCCCCCTGCGTGGCCACGACCCGTGTGAGGGGTGAACCGACATGGTGGTGGAAACGCACGCGGGCGCTGCCACTGCGGCCTTCGGTGGAGCTCCCTCTAGGGCCACGACACGTGTGAGCGGTGCACCGAAATGGCGAGTGGAACCGAATGCGGACGCTGCCATCGGGGCCTTCGGTGGAGCTCCCCATGGGGCCACGAAACGTGTGAAGGGTTTTGCCGAAATGCTGAGGGTGGAACCGCATGCAAGCGCTGCCCCTGGGCCCTTAGGTGGAGCGCCCTATGGGGCCACGACACGTGTGAGGGTTGCACCGGCAATTAGTTGGAACTGCATGCGGATGCTGCCGCTGGGGCCTTCGGTGGAGCTCCCTATGGGGCCACGAAGCGTGTGAGAGGTGTGCTGACATGTAGGGCGGAACCGCATGTGGGCGTTGCCACTGGGGCCCCTGGTGGAGCTCCCAATCGGGCCACAGAGCGTGTGAGGGATGTACCGAATTCGGGGTGGAACTGCATGCGGGCGATGCCACTCGAGCCGTACGTGGAGCTCGCTACATGGCCACGACACGTGTGAGGGGTTCGCCGAAATGTAGGGTGGGACTGCATGCGGGCGCTTCCGCTGAACCCTTCGGTGGAGCCCCCTGCGTGGCCACGACCCGTGTGAGGGGTGAACCGACATGGTGGTGGAAACGCACGCGGGCGCTGCCACTGCGGCCTTCGGTGGAGCTCCCTCTAGGGCCACGACACGTGTGAGCGGTGCACCGAAATGGCGAGTGGAACCGAATGCGGACGCTGCCATCGGGGCCTTCGGTGGAGCTCCCCATGGGGCCACGAAACGTGTGAAGGGTTTTGCCGAAATGCTGAGGGTGGAACCGCATGCAAGCGCTGCCCCTGGGCCCTTAGGTGGAGCGCCCTATGGGGCCACGACACGTGTGAGGGTTGCACCGGCAATTAGTTGGAACTGCATGCGGATGCTGCCGCTGGGGCCTTCGGTGGAGCTCCCTATGGGGCCACGAAGCGTGTGAGAGGTGTGCTGACATGTAGGGCGGAACCGCATGTGGGCGTTGCCACTGGGGCCCCTGGTGGAGCTCCCAATCGGGCCACAGAGCGTGTGAGGGATGTACCGAATTCGGGGTGGAACTGCATGCGGGCGATGCCACTCGAGCCGTACGTGGAGCTCGCTACATGGCCACGACACGTGTGAGGGGTTCGCCGAAATGTAGGGTGGGACTGCATGCGGGCGCTTCCGCTGAACCCTTCGGTGGAGCCCCCTGCGTGGCCACGACCCGTGTGAGGGGTGAACCGACATGGTGGTGGAAACGCACGCGGGCGCTGCCACTGCGGCCTTCGGTGGAGCTCCCTCTAGGGCCACGACACGTGTGAGCGGTGCACCGAAATGGCGAGTGGAACCGAATGCGGACGCTGCCATCGGGGCCTTCGGTGGAGCTCCCCATGGGGCCACGAAACGTGTGAAGGGTTTTGCCGAAATGCTGAGGGTGGAACCGCATGCAAGCGCTGCCCCTGGGCCCTTAGGTGGAGCGCCCTATGGGGCCACGACACGTGTGAGGGTTGCACCGGCAATTAGTTGGAACTGCATGCGGATGCTGCCGCTGGGGCCTTCGGTGGAGCTCCCTATGGGGCCACGAAGCGTGTGAGAGGTGTGCTGACATGTAGGGCGGAACCGCATGTGGGCGTTGCCACTGGGGCCCCTGGTGGAGCTCCCAATCGGGCCACAGAGCGTGTGAGGGATGTACCGAATTCGGGGTGGAACTGCATGCGGGCGATGCCACTCGAGCCGTACGTGGAGCTCGCTACATGGCCACGACACGTGTGAGGGGTTCGCCGAAATGTAGGGTGGGACTGCATGCGGGCGCTTCCGCTGAACCCTTCGGTGGAGCCCCCTGCGTGGCCACGACCCGTGTGAGGGGTGAACCGACATGGTGGTGGAAACGCACGCGGGCGCTGCCACTGCGGCCTTCGGTGGAGCTCCCTCTAGGGCCACGACACGTGTGAGCGGTGCACCGAAATGGCGAGTGGAACCGAATGCGGACGCTGCCATCGGGGCCTTCGGTGGAGCTCCCCATGGGGCCACGAAACGTGTGAAGGGTTTTGCCGAAATGCTGAGGGTGGAACCGCATGCAAGCGCTGCCCCTGGGCCCTTAGGTGGAGCGCCCTATGGGGCCACGACACGTGTGAGGGTTGCACCGGCAATTAGTTGGAACTGCATGCGGATGCTGCCGCTGGGGCCTTCGGTGGAGCTCCCTATGGGGCCACGAAGCGTGTGAGAGGTGTGCTGACATGTAGGGCGGAACCGCATGTGGGCGTTGCCACTGGGGCCCCTGGTGGAGCTCCCAATCGGGCCACAGAGCGTGTGAGGGATGTACCGAATTCGGGGTGGAACTGCATGCGGGCGATGCCACTCGAGCCGTACGTGGAGCTCGCTACATGGCCACGACACGTGTGAGGGGTTCGCCGAAATGTAGGGTGGGACTGCATGCGGGCGCTTCCGCTGAACCCTTCGGTGGAGCCCCCTGCGTGGCCACGACCCGTGTGAGGGGTGAACCGACATGGTGGTGGAAACGCACGCGGGCGCTGCCACTGCGGCCTTCGGTGGAGCTCCCTCTAGGGCCACGACACGTGTGAGCGGTGCACCGAAATGGCGAGTGGAACCGAATGCGGACGCTGCCATCGGGGCCTTCGGTGGAGCTCCCCATGGGGCCACGAAACGTGTGAAGGGTTTTGCCGAAATGCTGAGGGTGGAACCGCATGCAAGCGCTGCCCCTGGGCCCTTAGGTGGAGCGCCCTATGGGGCCACGACACGTGTGAGGGTTGCACCGGCAATTAGTTGGAACTGCATGCGGATGCTGCCGCTGGGGCCTTCGGTGGAGCTCCCTATGGGGCCACGAAGCGTGTGAGAGGTGTGCTGACATGTAGGGCGGAACCGCATGTGGGCGTTGCCACTGGGGCCCCTGGTGGAGCTCCCAATCGGGCCACAGAGCGTGTGAGGGATGTACCGAATTCGGGGTGGAACTGCATGCGGGCGATGCCACTCGAGCCGTACGTGGAGCTCGCTACATGGCCACGACACGTGTGAGGGGTTCGCCGAAATGTAGGGTGGGACTGCATGCGGGCGCTTCCGCTGAACCCTTCGGTGGAGCCCCCTGCGTGGCCACGACCCGTGTGAGGGGTGAACCGACATGGTGGTGGAAACGCACGCGGGCGCTGCCACTGCGGCCTTCGGTGGAGCTCCCTCTAGGGCCACGACACGTGTGAGCGGTGCACCGAAATGGCGAGTGGAACCGAATGCGGACGCTGCCATCGGGGCCTTCGGTGGAGCTCCCCATGGGGCCACGAAACGTGTGAAGGGTTTTGCCGAAATGCTGAGGGTGGAACCGCATGCAAGCGCTGCCCCTGGGCCCTTAGGTGGAGCGCCCTATGGGGCCACGACACGTGTGAGGGTTGCACCGGCAATTAGTTGGAACTGCATGCGGATGCTGCCGCTGGGGCCTTCGGTGGAGCTCCCTATGGGGCCACGAAGCGTGTGAGAGGTGTGCTGACATGTAGGGCGGAACCGCATGTGGGCGTTGCCACTGGGGCCCCTGGTGGAGACCCCGATGGGGCCACGAAACGGGTGAGGGGTGCACCGAAATGGGGATGGAAACGCATGCGGACGCTGCCACTGGACCACGAAACGTGTGCGGGGTGTGCCGAAATGTAGGGTGGAAGTGCATGCAGACGCTGCCACTGGAGCCTGAGGGGGCACGAAACGTGTGAGGCATGAGCCGAAATTGAGGGTGGAACTGCATGCGGGCGCTGCCACCGGGGCCCTCGGTGGAGCTCCCTTTGGGGCCACGAAGCCTGTGATGGGATATGCCGGGATAGTTGACATGCGGAGGGCAGAGGCATGGATGGGAGGCGGGAGAAGATGGGAGGAGGGAGAAGGGAGGAGGGGGAGGGGGAGGGGCAGGAGGAGTGGGAGGAGCAGGAGAGGAAGGAAAGAAGGAAGAAGACGAGGGGCGCTGTCTTTCCAAACCGAGGACCGGACTCCACAGGATGGTTGGGAAGTGCGACGCCCAGATCTCAGGACAGATCGGCTGCTCATATGAGTAACCTTTCGCTGGATTGACCTTGGGTGCGGGTCCACAGTGGCCCCCCGGTGCCCCCTGAGCACTGGCCTGTTCGCTTGGAATTGCGCCCCCCGCAGCCCCCGAAAGTCGCGCACCAAAAGTCATTTTTGCCTAGGGTCACTCTTGCGTGTAGCCGAAGAGAAGGTCGGCGGCGAGCCTGGGGGGAAGTGAGGAGGGGCGGGCCTTCCCAGAAGGCTCGGAAGGCCGCGGACCTTCTGAGAAGCGTTTTTCGGCGGCGAGCCAGGGGGGAAAGTGAGAAGAAGAAGGCCTTCTCAAAAGGTTCGGAAGTCCCCCGGCCTTCTGAGAGGTGCTCTAAGCCTTCCTCGAAGACGACACTCTTCTCAGAAGGCGCGAGGGCTTCTGAGAAGTCCCGCCGCCTTCTGAGGAGGCATTATCCTTCTCATCTCCCCCCTCGTCGCCGCAGATGTTTGCGCCTTCCTGGAGACCCGGAGTCGACTCCTCAGAGGGCGCGAGAGCTTCTGAGAAGCCTTGCCGCCCTCCTGGGAAGTCTGAGAAGGCCTGCGCCTGCTCACTTCCCCCCAGCCCTCGCCGCCGAGAGTAGATCCGCAAGAAAAATACGCAGACATCCTCCGACGAACTCAGCATGGTGATTTCTACACCGCCCCCCTCCCCTTTAGGCCCCAGGGCTGGACCTAAACTGTGTTTTTGGCGATTCCGTGGGCCGTTTTCGTTTCGGCTTCGTTTTGCGGAAAAGGCGGATTCCAGACACGAGCGAGGGAAACCGAAAACAACACGACAACGAAAGACACTGTTTGGGTCCAGCCCTGTTCTGCACCGCCGCCCTCCCCCCCTTTAGGCCCAGGAGCAATCCCTTTGGAGGGTGCCCGCGTAGATCTCCTCGTGGCGGGACAGAGGGCCATGGCGCTGCACGCCGGGGCCGCCGCTGGCCGGGGCGCGGCCGCGGTGCGGCGCGGGTCGCGGCGGCCGCGGGCCTCGCGGGTGGCGCAGGCCCTGGCGGCCGCCGTCGCCCTGCCGTGCGCCCTGTGCGCCGCCGCCCGCGCGGCGGAGGGGCCGGCGCTCGCGGGCGCCCGCTGGCGTATCGGGCGGGCCGCGGGCGCCCGTGGGCCGACGGTGCTCAGAGCCTGGGCTTCCCACCTCCTCCTCCTCCTCCGCCTCCTGCTCCTGCTCCTCCTGCTCCTTCTCCTCCCTCCTCCTCCTCCTCCTCCTCCTCCTCCTCCTCCTCCTCCTCCTCCTCCTCCTCCTCCTCCTCCTCCTCCTCCTCCTCTTCCTCCGTAGCCACTTTGGCTCAATATGATTTCGCCCCGTGGCAGAGCACGGATACCCCTGGTCCAGGGACAGCGAAGGACCCATTTCCCACGCCACGCCTTCCAGCTGCCCTGCTGGTTGAGCTATTCGGCTCTGCGCTCGCCCGCAGCAGCCTCCACGCGCGATATTGGTTGGCTGGCGCGGGCCACTGTGCTTCTCCATGGGAACGCACGCTCACCCACAAGCAGCTGGACCTCTCGCACTCCTTCCCAGCGGACAGGACCTCGACTGTGGCAAACGTCAACTAGATCCATGGCGTGATCGTGCTGCGAAGTTCGCAGTGCATGACCTACCCACTCACGTTCGCAAGCAGCTGGAGGAGACCATGGCCGCCCAAATCGCCGACGCCAGCGCCAAGTTCGAAGCCACAGCACGCGCTGTCACAGCACAGGCCAGCCAAGACTTCCTCGCCTCCATTACGAAGATCACGTCCGAGCTCAGCCAACGTCACGAAGCCACCGAACGCAGCATCCACAGCGTCACGCAGCGCACCAACGACCTCGAGAAGCAGAACGTCGAGCTCAAGACCGCCATCGCAAAGCTCGAAGCCATCGTCACAGCCGCAGAAGCACGTGCTCCCACCCTCAACCTCGATGGCCTTTGCACGTGGGACAGGGGCCCCGACCCCACAACGCTCTGGTGTAGCAGTCCACAGGAGTTCAACCAGCCCGAGCTCGAACGCGCCCTCGCAGCATGGTTTGCCAAGGCCGAATTGACCAAAGACATGGTCACATTCGACACCGTCGGCCCCGCCAAGCGTCACTCGTTCCCGGTCAGCGGCGGAACCGTCGTGGCAGAACCTAGTGCCCAGCGTCTCAACACTGCTCTCCACAATGGAAAAGAATGGCGCAGCTTCATTATCACTCTGGGCAATGGCGCACATGTCCCTCTATATGTTTCAGCAGACAAAAGCCCGAAAGCCGTCCGCACAGAAGTGCAAGTCAAGCGCCTCGCCAAAATCATGCAGAACGATAGCCCCGACGTCGACCTTCGCACGCATAGGATCCTTGGTTTCATTGTTAATCGTCGGGGTGCTCTGGTTCGTTTGCTCATCGGCGCACGTGCTGACGAACCGACCAGAATTCAGCGGTCCAACGCCGCCGTGGACCGCGGCTTCACCGCAGACAAGCAGCGGCAGATGAATGCCGAGTTCGCCTCCAACTTCGCCGACGCCCGCGCAGCAGCGCAGTGGCTTTAGCCACCGCTGGAGCCCATGGCTCCTCCAACCCTCTCAGGAGGGCCTCAATGTCGCCTTCTGGAACACTCCGAGCCCTCCTGGGGCAATCTGACCAACGCCGCGAAGACAAATGTCGCATGCTTCTACCTTAGTTTCACCAACGCGCTCTTCTCGCCGTTCAAGAAAGAAGCGCACGGACCCATTGACGACCTCATTCCCCTGGCCAACTCGCCCCAGCACCCGCGCAAGCCGTTCCACCCGATCGGGGTCGCCAACGACGTGCCCGCCTGCAACGCTGGCGGCGTCGGCTTCCTCGTCCCTCACGACAAGAGAGAGCTTCAGCTTTCACCTGAACAGCGGCCTCAAGCCAGGTTCGAGGTCGTCATCCCTGGCCGCGCCGCTTGGTTGCGCGTCGCGGACGCCCGCCTCCAGTAGGAAGTCGCCATCCTCAACATCCACAACTGCGGCCCCACGCCAGCTAACCTTATTCACCTTCGCGACCAATGGCAAACACTTCGACGGCATGCTGACGAACAGCCGCAACATCGCCTCTTCATGGTCGCGGGTGACTTCAATGTTTCCGAGTTCCCCCCGAAGTCCTTCAATGCCCCTGTCGACTCCGACTCCACTGCCGCGCAGAGATGCCAGTTCCAACCTGTCCACTGGCGCTCGCTGCTTCGTGACAGGATTGAAATCACCTCCACGCCCACGACGCGCAGAGCCGTAGGCAACATGAGTGAATCTACGATCGACCGCTGCTTCATCAACCTTCCGAGCCACCTCATGCCTCTCATGGAGGCCATTTACGTCGCCGACGACGCCCCCCTCGAGAATGCCAGGGGCCCGATCAGCGACCGCAAGATCATGCGCCCCCGCGCCCGCCCCCGCAAGTCCATGCCAGCCACCGAGCGCGGCGTCCCCGCCTATATCTTCGACACCGGTCACTGAAAGCATCGCATCAAAAGGATCCCCGCCACCATCGACGCGACGCTGCTCACCCCGATTGCCAGACGGCGCGCTCTCAAGGCTGCGACGCAAGTCGCAGCCGCCCGCGCGCGAGACACGCTCGCCAAGATTCCTACTGCCGAGCTGGAGTCCATGACTGCAAGCGTCTCCTAGGAGACCCGCGCCATGACGCTGCGCAGCATTGCCCGTGCAGTCTGGCGCCAGAACGCCCCTCTCGCGAAGACGCTGGTCGAGAACGCCGAGATCGGGCGCCTTCACCTGGAGATCGCCGGCGACGCGGTCAGCATCAACGACGTGGCACTGCTCGCCGCGACCGCGGGCGCCGCGCGCGCCGGCCTCAGCGACGAGCGCAAGGCAATCTCAGCTGCCCGCTCGTGAGCTGCCTTTGCCGCCAACAACGCCCCCTCGGCTAGAAGTGGCGCCGGCGTGCCAAGCGAGAAAATTACCGCGGCGAGCTCTGGGGACCAAGCGCTTAGTATGGACGGGAATCAAGATCATCATCGGCAACTCGTCCAACGCCGCGACCGACCCTGCAGCCATGCACCAGGCCATCAAGCGTCACTGGGCCCCCGTGTTCGCCGAGAAGCACATGGGCAAGAAGCGTCTCACCGACGACCTCGACCCCGTCTTCCCTCGGCGCCTGCGAGCAGAGCAATCACTCCCCGATGCGCAAGATCCTAAGAACGCATCAAACCTCGCAGGGGATTCTGCCCCTGGCCCTGGCGGTCTTCCATGCCGAGCGCGGCTCCGCGCCCCCGACAGCTTCGACATCCTCGCCGACGCATGCTACGACATCGCTGCAAATCACAACATTCCGCGCGACCAGACTTTTCCCTCGTGACCACGTTGCTTAAAGGTGACGAGCCATCTGGCAATGCGGGGCGCGCGCGATCCCCTGATTGCCTTCGTCCGCTTTCAATGAAGAACTCGGGCGCGAAGCTGCTGGCGTCCGCCGCCGACCGTCAGCTCCATGTCCTTGCGGCCCAGGCGCCCCCCGAACAGCAGGGCTTCGTCAACGGCCGCCAGTTTTTGAATGACGTCGTCATCGTGGACGCCGCCGCGCGTCGACACAGCCTGTCACCGTCAGCTTCCTCAGACACGCCCGTATTCGTTAGCATGGACATCGCAGCCGCGTTCCCCAGCCTCGACCGCCAGTGGATGTGGAACATTCTCGCGCGCTGGGGCATTCACGGCCACTTGATGCACCTGATCCAGGCATGCTACTTCTGGCCCGTCTCGTTCCTCGACTTTAGGGGGAGAACGTCTTCCACTCCTGATCGCCGCATCGGGCGCTGCTCAGGGATGCCCCCTGAGCGGCGCGATCTGGGCGCTCGTCTTCGACCCCGCCATCGCCGCCATCAGCCGCGAGCTCAAAGCTATCCACCGCGGGCTCATCAGCGCCTGCGCTGACGACCTCGGCATCATCCTCGCCGGGCTGGCCGACATCAGCGTGCTCGCCCCCCACGCGATCGCAGCCGAGACCCTTGCTGGCCTCCAACTCCAAACCAAGAAGTGCATCGTCTTCCCGACTTGGGCCCTCCCATCGCAAGATCTAGTTGCCGAGATGCGACGCGTCTTCGTGGCTGCCCACGCCCCATGGTTCAATATCAAGATTGAGTCCAAAGCCCGCTACCTTGGCTTCTCCCTGGGCCCTGGCGCCACGCTTGCTCGTCAATGGCGCGGCCCCGCAGTGACATGGCGGGGCCGCGCGGAGAAGCTCGCCGCTTCGCGCGCCCCCATCCAGCAAAGCATCAAGCTGTGCAACGTCGCCGCCGTCGCGCGCCTGGGCCACGTCGGCCGGCCCTTCGAACCGCCCGAGGGCATCCTGCAGCAGGGGCTGCAGGCCATCGACAAGCTGCTGCGCGTCGCCCCCTCCGGTCTCGCCAAGTCCGGCGTCCTCGCGATGACGCTCTGGACGAAAGCGGAGGCCCCCATCGGGATCGAGAATTACCTTGCCGCCACTCTCTGGCGAACAGCGTCTACCATTGTGACAGAGTGGAGACGCGCACGCAGCGAACTTTGCGACACCGCTTACGACCAGCTTTCAATCACCACGGTACTGCAAGGCGCGCGGTGCAACGACTGTTGGAAGATCAAGACCGCCATCGTCCAGCTCTTCGAGGGCGTCATCAACTCCAACTTCTTCGTTGACTGTAAAGGGTCACATCTCGAGCGCCAGACCCGCGCTGCTGGGCACAGACCCCGCGCACGAGCTGCCATGATCGCCAGCCACAAGCGCGCCGCTAGAGCAGGACAGCTAGCCACCCTGCATCGCCATGCTCTCACCTATCCCAAAAACCTGACCGCTTTCAACCTCGCAACAATGCCAAGATCACGCCGCAGAAAGCCTACATGAAGTTGTTGAACGAGCAGCTCTACTTTGACACCATGCCTGACACTATCAAGCGCCGCCTGATCGCATGGTACCCCATGCTAGACGCTGCCCGCCAACTTACACAAGAACCGCCATCTGGACCGCAACGTGAAGCTGAACGAGCCCGAGAGCGCCTTCTCAACAGGACGCCTTCATAGGCTGCGCACTGGTTGCCTGGCCGCCTGTTGAACGACCGACTCATCAACAACCAAGGCGACTGGAGGCATTGATGCGTCACCTACTTGTGCGAGCTGCTCGGCACCGACCTGTTCCAGCCGCTATACACTACCAACACAACGTCGCCGCATCGCCATCGACATGCGCCAGCGAGGGCCACCAGCGGCCCTGGACGCATCCTCCTGGAGCACCGCCTGTCCCGCACTGTGACCCCGGGCGAGTCGCCACGCAGCCGTTCGCCTCGCAGCCGAACGCCGTTGCTCAGCCACGAGGCTGCCCAACACCGTGCCCGGCGCCGCTGGATATCCCACATCCTCCCGCTGCTGGAGCCCGACGCCGACCCGGACGACATTCGCCGCGACGACGACGACATGGGCGTTGAAGACCCACCTGCCGACGCCGACGCACAGCTCGACCTCATTCAAGTCCAACACGTTCCTGATGATTTCCCCGCTCGGCGGATGCGGCGCCGCACCCACCTCGCGACGCTGCCGCCCTCCAAGCTGTGGAGCGCCGTGAAGGTCCTCGCGGGCGCGTGGACGACTTCGCACAGGACGCACGCGATCCCGACCAAGCGCCCATGCCATTTCGGGTGCCCGCACGCCGACGACAACAACCAGCACGATCTAGTCTGCCAAAGGATGTGGCACCAGCTGAGCTTACCGCGCGGCCAGCTGAGCTCCAACATCTTGACGAGGCTCGGCCTCCCCGAACTGACCGAGCCGTTCCATGGCGAGAACGGCATCCCGAACAGCATCACCAGGTTCTCCGTGGCCACCAGGGCGTGCCACCTCACGAAGGACCAGGACATCCCGATGACCTACAGCAAGCAGACGACTGCCGTTGCTGCCGCTCGCTGGGCCCTGAAGCTGCCCGCAGAGCTGTCGGGCGGGGCTGGCGCGCCGTACTGCGGCCTTCAGACAGACGCTCCCTCTCAGGCGACGTTCGCTCCTCCTCCTCCTTCTCCTCCTCCTCCTCCTCCTCCTCCTCCTCCTCCTCCTCCTCCTCCTCCTCCTCCTCCCCCCCCGTTCCTCCTACCTACTACCTTTCCTCCTCCGCCCGCTTTCACACAGGCCTCCCAGTGGATGGGGTCGGAGTAGATGGGGTTGGAGGATCGCCCCGCATGCCCGATGCATCGGCGAAGCGGCTCGATGTGGAGCCCAGTTTTCTTCGCGCCGATGGCGCCGATGCATCGGCGATCCGGCGCCATCCTCCGAACCCATCTGCTCGGACCCCACCCAGGCCCCCTCTATAGTTGGCCTCCCAGGTGCGGCTATCCAGAAGGGGCCTCCCCTTCGAAGATCGAAGGACTTGGCTTCTTTGCCCCGGCGGAAGGCCAGCGGAAACGAACGAGGCCAGCTCTGCCGGCGGAAGCTGGCGGAAGTCAAAGTCGGCTTCCCAAGAGATGGCAATATTTGTTGGTCCAGGGTTTCTCGAACCCTCCAGCTGGAGTCCGAACAGGTGGGGTCGGAGGATCGCTCCGCATCGCCGACGCATCGGCGATGCGGAGACAGAGTTTCTCCACGCCGACGGCGCCAATGCACCGCCGAAACATCGCCGACGTGGCCGCTGCATCGGCAATGCGTCGGCGAAACGTCGGCGATGCGGCGCAATCCTCCGCCCCCGCGCGCTTAAGCCCCAGTTAAGAGGCCTCCAGGTGCGCAGGCAGCGGGCGGAGCGCGGGGGATGCCCCGTGGAGCCACGGGCAGGCCGAACGTCCACGCGGGCGATGCAGAGAAGCGGGATTGGTTTCACATGAGGAGGGGGTGACCGCTGGGAGTGGCCGCGCATCTTTTGAATCCCCGAGGACCCCCGTGCACTCTTCTGACCCGTCTGCAGCCACTGGCAGCTGTGCCCATGTGGGCCGGATCGGCGCTAGGGTATCGGAGACCCCTGTAGGGTTCCAGCTGGCCCCAGACATCTCTCAAGTCCTGAACTCCTTCCGGTGATGCGAAGATCTGACCTGCGTGCCCTGCTGTCGCCGCTCCGAACACCGCCGACGTCGGAAAAGTTCGACATGGGCGCGGAGTGTGGCCCCGGAGCTCCCGGCCCCCTCCCCGGGAGCAGTTCTTCGCCCCAGATCCCGATGGCCCTGAAGCGTGGTAAAGGGTCCCGGAAAGTCGAGCACCGGCAGGGATGCCAGCGCACGGGCAGGATCGCCAGCGCGTTGACTTGCGTCCCTCTCCTCTCCCCTGCTGTCGCCTTGTCGTTCGTTCCCCTCTCTTTTACCCGTGTCTTCGTCGCCGTCCTCCGAAGTTGGGGGGCCGGCGCGGGGTCACTCCTGAACCGACGCCCGGCGCCCCCATAGCGTGGTCGAGTTTGCTCCTGCTCGAGGTGGAGGCCGCGGCACCTCCCGCGCCTCCAGGGTTCTCAGAAGCACCCCTGCTTCCTAGAGGCCCCGGGCCTTCTCTGCAGATGCAAGGCCGGCGCCGTCTCAGAAGCAGCCTCCTTCTGAGAAGCCTCCCCCCCTCCCCCATACCCCCTCGTGCGCGCCGCCACGAAGAGGCCCCAGTGTGTTCCGGACATCTGGGAGTCTGCCCAACCCACGCCCAGCCAGTCCAGAGAGGAGCCGCCCGCCGCTGTCGCCGCTGCCTCCCCAGGGCTGGGCGGGGCCGCCGGCCTGGCGCTCCCGGTCGCGAGCATCGACGTCCTCCAGGCGGCGCTCAGCGAGGGCGAGCCGGCGGCGTCGCAGAATGTGGCATTGTTCGGGAGCCTTGAGACGGGGGGTCGCTGCAAACGGGGTCAGCCAGAGCGCCGGATCTCGCAGGATCCTGCAAGGCCAGGGTTGCACGGACCCGGGCCAGCGCGTAGGATCCCGCAGGATCCTGCACAACCCGACCCACCCAGGTGTGGATTGACCCGGGTCAGTACAGATCCCCGAAGTGAGAGAGCGCCCACCCAGACAAGTCGAACACTCGACATGGGCATTCGAGGGTGCGGCTGCAGGCCTCAGTCGGTGCCGCGAGTCGACGCGGACCTCGCCGGATACTCCCTGTTCTTGTGGACGTCGGCCAGCCACCCCGCTGGGGTGCACTCGGAGCACGTCGCCGTGCGCACGTGGGGTGCCCCTGGCAGGTTTCCCCACGAGGCGTCTGGCCACGGTCGGCGGCACGCGCTACTAGCGGGCACGAGGGTGGATCCGAGGCTTCTCAGAGCGGGCCTGCTGCTCAGAAGGCACGGGCCGTGCATCTACAGACAGGGCCCGCGCCTGCCAAGAAGCAGGGGTGTTTCTAAGAAGCCTCCCCCCTCCCCCAGCCCCCCTCCTCGCCATCGCTCGGGCGTCCACTCCCCACGGGCTCCTCGCCATCGCCGGGGGTGGGCAGGGTCCTGCCCACCCCCAGCAGGGCCCGGGGGGTGTGCGGGCGGGGCGGCTTCCTTGCAGGAATGGCAGGGGGCTTCTCAGAGGTCGGGGCGCGGGCGGCGAGGGTCAGTTCCAACGGGGGTCGGCCACGCCCCTCCCGCCCCAGGAGGAAGAGGAGGAGGAGGAGGAGGAGGAGGAGGAGGCGGAGGAGGCGGAGACGGAGGAGGAGACAGAGGAGGAGGAGGAGGAGGAGGAGGCGGAGACGGAGGAGGAGGAGGGGGAGGAGGAGGAGGAGGAGGAGGAGGAGGAGGAGGACGGAGGAGGAGGAGGCGGAGGAGGAGGAGGAGGAGGAGGAGGAGGGGGAGGAGGACCCATTTTGGCTGACCCGTGCTGGAGGGTCATGCAGCCGATCCCGCCTCACCTCCTGCTGGCCCTGGCTTCTCGGAGCCGGTTCGTGGCTGGTGCGGGTTCGCGACGTGGCCCTGGTTGGCCCTGGTTGTCGTGGGCGCTGGCCTGCGACCCCGATGGGCGCCCTTTTTGCCTCTTCGTGGGAGTCTTCTCGGGTTCCAAGGGGGGAGGAACCACCCGGAGCAGATAACTGGCTTCTGTTGCACGGCCTTGGGCGTTCGCTACCCAGCCCTGCCCTGTTCGATTCCTTCTTGGGGTGCGTTTCCTAGATCTCTTCGCGTGTCGGGGTCATGATCCTGAGGGTGGCTTTTCTGCCCTCTACAGGTGCCTCCGAACCCTGTTCGGAAGTTCCCTGCCCTCTCCGAAGGCCGCCGCCCCTTTCCCCCCCACCCCCCGCCCACCTGCGCCGCCCAGGCAAGCCAGTGGTGGCGGACTTCATGGCCCCCAGGCGATCCTGGGAACGCTCATGCTCCTCGCCTGTTGACCCTCCTGGAGCGGGGTGGAGGTTCGAGGATGGACGATTCCAGTTTTCTAGCGTTTCGGGCCTTCTTGGATTTGGGCGACCTCCAGAGGGCTCCTGGGTGACCCTCATCGCGACGGCTGGACTCGCCTCGATGTTCTGGTCAGGAGCGCGCTCCAGGGCAGGTCCAGAGGGCAACTGTGAGCCAGACATCCGGGCATTGCGAACAAAAAGCGACGGGCGTGTTGTCTAACAGTTTTGGCCTTGGGGAACCATTTTCGGACCCCTGGGGACGCAATCAAGGACCCGCTGCCAAAGAACAATGTCCAGGGAACTCCAGGGCGGTACAATTGGGAACATCTTAGGGCCGCCTTGTTCTGGCGATGTTGGTGGAGTCTCGGGGGCCGTGTTGAAACCATCTTGCGGCACCCAGGAGAAAACCCGGCGACCGACGGAACACGCTCAAATGCGTTTTAGGGGCGCGTCTGGGTGAGTCCTTCGGGCCATCTTGGACCGTCGTGGGGTCGCCTTGCGGCCAAATTGGGCCGTCTTGGGCTCTTACGGCTTTACTGGGACACTTCACTATGTGTTTCTTGGGTCCTCATGACCGTCGGGTGGTGCCCCGAAGGGGTTTGAGCCACCCAGGCGGCCAGAGGGCCGAAGGACACCCTCGACATGTTGTTCCTCCATCAGAGTTTGCACTGAAGGGGACGTCGCGGCAGGGTTACCGGAGTCTTGGTTCTTGGCCCCGTGTTCTTAGGATGAAAAGATTTAGCGAAAGTTTGGCGCCGATCTCGGAAGGATTGGTCCCGGATTTTCGTTTTTCTAGTCTTCGACGGTTGGGCGCCCAGTTTTCCAAAGTAGGGGGTACGGTGCCCGGACAAAAACTGTCCACACCCATGGCGGAAAGTTGAAATGCCCTTGCTTCGCACCCCTCCCCCACAAACACAAAGTTGAAGTGCCCACATTTTGTCCCTGGCCTTTGGCCTACCACCTAAACCCGTCAACTTTGAACTCAGGGGAAGGGAGTATACGTGTTGGTCCGACGTACTTTAATGACTCAAGGTCTTGGCGAGACACGTGTGGACTTTTTTAGTCCACCCACCGTAGGGGAGTAGAGTGTAGAGAAGAGAAGAGAAGAGAGTGGAGGATGGCGAATCTCGGGTAGGGGTCAGAGTAGAGAGAGTAGAGACAGCAGAGATACAGCAGAGGAAATAGAGAGAGCGAGAGAGAAATATCCAAGTAGGAGGGGGGGAGAGAGAGAGAGAGAGAAAGACAGAAACAAAGATGGGGGGGAGAGACCATGCCTAAATGTATTAGAGCGTTGGGAGAGCAGAGAGGGCATACAGAGAGCGTGAGAGAGAGAGAGAGAGCAGGGCTGAGCGGTTAAAATGTAGAGCGAGCAGCTTTGCAGCATATAGAGCAGCGGGGCTGCAGAGCCAATGGAGAGTAGAGCGTAAAACACCGCGGACCACAGCACAGAGAGCAGAGTGCACAGTGCAGAGTGCAAGCGTAGAAACCTGTGAAGGGGGGAGTAGAGAATAGAGGGAAGCGAGCAGAAGGTGGAGAGTAGAGGGTGGAGAGCAGGGATCACATGCCAGGGAGGGGGGTTGAGAGTACACGCCAGTCGTTGAAAGTAGGTATTTTTGGACTCCCACATCCCAATATACTTCAAGCGCCTTCCTACTTCAAGAATCGACACGCGTTTGCTGTGTTTATTATTCTCAGGGGGGGCCTGAACCCAATCAACTTAATCCGCCTTCCTACTTCATGCTTTTACCTACTTCTTCCGACCGACGTGTAGAGAGTGATCGAATATTCCAGAAAGAAGAGCCTTAGTCGTCACCCTTTGCTGTCGCCCACCGGCAGCTAGTGGCCCTGACGTTTCACGTGCGGAGCGCTAATTGGTGCATCATATGGTGCATTCGGTTTTCTCCACGCCCCCCCCCTCCCCCCCCCCCTAGGTACTTGCAGATTAGACAGGCGATGCTGCTGGAGAGGCAGAATGCTGCAAATAACGCCAGCACGACAGCCGCCCAGTAGGAACTTCCTCAGCTTGGCGCCCCCCCCAGGAGGCCTGGCGAATTATGCTTAAGCCTGGAAGTTCCCACAGTTGCACTGATGGAGGACGAGCCGTCCTTTCCCTGTTCCAATCGTTTTCGTGCCGTGCTTCTCCGTCTCAAGTGTCTCAAACAGTGGCGCGGATGGACGGTGGCTTGTCTTCGAAAGTGGTCCTCGCCGAACAGAGCTCTCATGTCTCATTCGTGGGCACGGCGCTACCGCCCCCATCTAGCCCGCAACTCTCGTTTCTAAGTCGTGGCCCAAATTTGGACATGACAGGAATTGGCAATGAAGAGGGCGAGCGAGTGTTCGTGTGTGTAGTGCCGCGCACATGTGTCTTGAAAGTTTCAATATCGTCGTTTCGAATATACCCAGCGTTGCTCTTCCAATATTTCTGTTGCACATGTGTATTTCGTTTTCCCACCTCCTCTTTCCTCCCTCCTTCGTCATTCCTCCTCGTCCCTCGCTGTTCCAGCATTGCGCGCTCGTTTCCTCACTCCCTCGCTGTCTTTCCCTCCTACCTGATCCTCTGCCTTGCCATGCTTTCCTCCGTAGCGATTATGGCTCAGTGCAAATGGTGCAACCCATGGCCAAGCTGACGCAATGGCACTCGCTGGTCGTGGGACTCTGGGCGGCCACTTCCTGCGGCTTCGCCTACACATTCTCCAACTTCTCGACGGCGCTCGAGTACAAGTTTAACCTCTCGGCGGCGGATCTTGACACCATCGGCATTGCCACGCTCGCAACTGGCTGCGTCACCTTCAGCACTGGCATTCTGGTCGACCGCATCGGAGCCCGATCGGGCATGCTTCTGGGTGGCCTCATGAACGCGATCTCCTGGTTCGTCTACGGGCTGGTAGCTACCGAGAGGGTGCGAATCCCCGCGGAGGCACGCGTGTTCGCCTTCACCTCGCTGGGCGTATTCGCCACCCTCGGAGCCGCGACCGTCACCGGGGCCGTCTTCGGGACCATCGTGAAGAGCTTCCTGCCCCATGAGGGGCAGAGCGCGGCCGTCGGCGTGGCCAAGGCCTGGGTGGGCCTGGCCTCTGGATTCACCGCGACCGTCTTCCTGGGCGTCTGCCCCACCAGCGACGCAGACCCTGGGCGCCTGAACTACCTCTTCTTCCTCTCCGGCGCCGTGGTGCTCTTCGCGCTGCTGCCGCTGCCCTGCCTCCACGTCCCCCCGGAGCCCTCGGGGGACGGGGGCGCCGAGCCCTCGGGCGCGCACGACGGGCTCTGCGTCCCGCGCCAGCACCGCCTCCGCCTCCTGCTGGGCACCACCCTGGCGCTGCTCGGCGCGACGGTCGCCTCCGTCCTCTGCGCGCGGGGCGCGCCGCGGCCCGCGCAGCGGTGCCTCAGCTAGGGGGCCACATGCGAACCCTACCCCTACCCCCCACGATTTCTGAGGGGGAGAGGGTGGGGTTCACTGCGCTCGGGAGCTCCCCAACGAAGTGAACCCCACCCTCTCCCCCTCAGAAATCGTGGGGGGTGGGGGTAGGGCTCGCATGTGGCCCCCCAACAGCGCGCTGCTCCTGGCCCTGGCCGCGCTCCCCGGGTGCCTGCTCCTGCCCGGGCGGGGCCCCGCCGCGCAGGGGGAGCTGGAGCTGCCCCTGGAGGCGCGAGGGCCCGCAGCGGAGGCGGGCCGCCCCGCGGCGGCGGGCCCGCGCGCGGGCGCCGGCCCGGCGGCCCTGCCGCGGAGCCCGTGGGAGTGCAGCCTCCAGGCGGGGGCGGCGAAGAGGGGGGTTAGGGGAGCAAGAAGTGGCATGAACATGGCAACCCGGAGGTCCGCGCGGATTTCTTGGATCGGCGCTGGGCTGGGGCCCCCACCCTGGCGCGCGGAGCGCGCCAGGGGCGGCGAAGAGGGGGGCGATGACTGGGGCAATGTCGGGCGTGTCCCCCTACAGCGGGATTTTCGACAGGAAATTAACAATACCCCAAGAATACCCCAGAAAAGGTTAAAAAATCTAAAACATTGTCCCCAGACTATGTTTGGACTATTTCTTAATTGTTTTTGGTGTATCTTCCTGTAGGGGGACAGACCCGACTTAAGACTAGGGGGGGATATCATGGCGGGGGCCATGATACTTCACCAGATTTCATGGCGCCTCTTCTTGTTTCATGACGTCCCTGGCCCCCCCCCATGGGCCGCACACGTGCCGCCGGTCATGATTTGCACCCCCACCTCTTGGGCACCCCCCTCTTGGCCGCTCCCGAAGGAGCTGGTCTGGCGGCCGAGCGCGTGGCTGCTCTGGCTCGCCGTCTTCGCCGTCCAGGCCGGCGGCGCGGTGCTCCTCACCAACTTGGGGCTCATCACGCAGTCGAGGGCGGGCCCGCGGGCCTCGGCGATCTCCGCGAGCGCCGTGTTTTCGTGCGCGCAGAGCCTGGGCCGGCTCACAGCTGGCCCACTGTCGGATGCTGCCATTCGCGTGTTGCAAGAAGTGCCCCTGGCCTAGGTGTCCCAGGGATTTCCAAGGAGGCCCCCACGGCCTCCAGAGCACCACTCGAGATGCCCTGAGGGCCCCAGGGGCTCGAATTGAACGAAAATCTGGGGGTACCTTTGGCCAGGGGCACCTTTCACAACCCCCGAGCCATGCGGATGCGATTCGCCCGACCGTGGTGCTTCGTGCCCGTGCTGGCGCTCATGGCCGCGGGGCACGGCGCGCTTTGCCTCCCGGGCCCTGTGCCGCTGTATCTGGGTGTGGCGCTAGCCGGATACGCGTTCGGGTCGCAGTACCCCTTGATAATCCTGACGGTGGCCGAGGTTCAGCCTCGCGCAAAGGGAGTGTGGGGAGGGGGAGGGCTTCTTCAAAACAGCCCTGCTTCTTGGAAGGCGTGGGCCTTATCTACAGATGCAAGGCCAGTTCCTTCTGAGAAGCAGCCTCCTTCTACGAAGCCTTCCCCTTCCCCCTGCACCCTTTGCGCGCGCCGTCAAGAGGTGTTCGGGCACGCGCGCCTCGCCTCGAACTACATGTTCTACGACGGGACGCCCGGCGCGATAGCCTCCCTGCTGTTTGCTAAGTATCAGAGACGCCCGCGCTACGGCGAACCACCGCCGCCCCCTGCCCTTTGGAGACTTGCGTGATCAAACGTTACGCCTAAGTCTTGCCAAGCCAGTGGTCTACGTGTTCCCCCCCAGCCGACCGATGTGGAAACCCTGGGGGACATTTGTGGAATGAAGAGCGAGGAGGAGGACCAGTGTTTATCCAAGACTCAGCAGCGATGTTGGAATACACCCTCCCTCGAAGCTCACTTTTCTCAGGCCCCTACAAGGGTTCATGCCCATTGGGGGAATTGCCCCGTTGGGGGGCAATCGCGTGCAAATCCTGAAGCGTGCCAAAACACCGTTCTCAGGACTTCAAGGCCACGGGTTAACCCGACTGTGGAGTCTTGGCGAGATCCTGAATCATGCCAGAACACCGTTCCTGGGACTTCCACACCGCGAATCAGCATGACTGCTGCGCCCTCACAGTCCTGAATCGCCCCAAAGCAACGCTTCTGGTGCGTTAGCTGGTAACATCAGAAAAACCTTTCATTTTGTTGAGCGGATGTGCGTGGCGCCAGGGCGAGGGTCACATTTTGAAACACGCCCTCAATCTGTGAAACGCTGGCAGGTGTTTAGTGTGAACGTGCGCGGTGATAAGGCGAGAGCCACATGCTGAATCCGACCCGCCTCCAATCCGTGAACTTCCTGCATGAGTTTAAACACGAACGCGCGCAGGGCCAAGGCGAGCGCCACATGTTGAAGCCGACCCGCCCCCAATCCGTGAACCTTTTGCAGCAATCAAAGCGAATGCGCGCGGCGCTAAGATGAGAGCCACATTTTGAAAGCCATCCGCTTTGCATTGGTGAAACAGTTCCCTGTTTTGTCTATTTGAAAAGCTTCACTGCGTGGAGCTCCCCATATGTACATCTATTTGCATGGACCTTTCCCGCCGTGAGCGTCTAGGCGCACGAGACTTCAACTATGAACGGGCTTGAGTATTGAGAGACTGGGAGTGGGTCTGACTGTGAATGAGTTGGACTGTGAATGCGTTATCATCATCACCACTATCATCCGCATCATCATCACCATCATCATCATCATCATTGGGGTTGTCGTGCTCGGCGCGGCAGCCTCAAGGCTCGAACCTCGATCCTGTGGCCCCCGCCACCAGAGTGGCCCGGTCGGAAGCTGCAGCCTCCCTCCTCCCTGCTCCGTCCTCCACCACACGTCCATCCTCAGTAACATACGTAAAGATAAAAAGTGCCCATTTTCATGCCCCTCAGTTCGTCCTCCTACTCGAGTGGATAAGAGTCGACCTCATTGTCCTCCTCCACCTTCCCCTCCTCTTCCTCCTCTGCCTCCTCCTCCTCCCTTTTCTCCTCCCCTACCATCATCACCACAATATCGTCATCATCGTCATCGTCTGTGTCGTCATCGTCATCGTCATCAGCGTCGCTATCGTCGTCTTACCCATCACCATGTTCATCATGCTCATCATCACCATCACTATTATGATTATCATTATCATTATCACCATTATCACCATCACCATCATCATCTGAATCATCATCACCATGGAGTCATCCTCGCATTTTGAACCACCTGGGGTGCGACAACCAACGCCTCGCCCGCGACTTCCTCAGAACCTGCTCTGCAGGCAGACGCACCTGGCCCCCAAAACAAGCAAACTGCTCGAGACATCCTCCTCTGGGGTACGAAATCCACCGCCTCGCTGGAGACATCCTCCGAATCTGCTCCGGAAGCGGAAGATGTTGCGGCAGCAAACAGGCAAACCATTCGAGACATCCCCGCAATGTGGGTGCGAACGGAGGGGTGAGATACCCCGTCGCGGCTCCCTTTCGGGTGTGCTGAAGCCAGCGCCTCGTCCGAGACGTCTTCAGCATTTGCTTTGCACGCAAACGAACCTGGCCACCCAAACAAGCAAACTGCTCGAGACATCCTCGCAATCTCCCCCCCTTGGGGTGCGAAAACCACCGCTCGCCCACGACATCCCCCACACCCCAGATCTGCTCCGAAAGAGAAGGATGTTTCGGCTGCGAACAGGCAAATCGTCCGAGACATGCCCGCAATCTGGGCTTGGTCCCGCCCCCCTCCCCCCCCCCCCCTTGGCCGTGCTGAAACCAGCGCCACGCCTGAGACATCCTCAAACGCTGTTCCATCAGAATCATCATCATCATCATCATCATCATCATCATCATCATCATCATCATCATCATCATCATCAGCATCAGCATCAGCATCAGCATCAGCATCAGCATCATCATCACCACCATCAGCAGCAGCAGCAACATCATGCGGCTCGTCCTCTTCTTCATCATTGTTATCACCAGCATCATCATCCTCACAATTCGTTTTACCATTTCGGGCGTAGCCCGAATGTGTTTCTCTCGAGGTAATTATGAACTGACCTGAACTGAACTCATCTGAACTGAGCTGAATACACTGGTCACACCCGTTACGCGACGGTTTTATTCTCGGCCGTCGAGGGCGCAATTTAGAGCGCAACCAATGGGAGACGGTTTTATTCTCGGCCGCCGAGGGCGCAACCCATGGCGCAACCGATAGGAGACGGTTTTATTCTGAGCCGCCGAGGGCGCAACCTATGGCGCACCCGATAGGAGACGTTTTGTTCTTGGCCGCCCAGAGCGCAAACTATTGCGCAACCGATCGGAGATTGTTTTATTCTCAGCCGCCGAGGGTGCAACATATTGCGCAACCGATCGGAGTCGGTTTTATTCTCGGCCGCCGAGGGCGCAACCTATGGCGCAACCGATAGGAGACTATTTTATTCTCAGCCGCCGAGGGCGCAACATATTACGCAACCGATAGGAGACCGTTTTATTCTCAGCCGCCGAGGGCGTGAACTATTGCGCAACCGATTAGGAGACTGTTTTATTCTCGGCCGCCGAGGGCGCAACCCATGGCGCAACCAATCGGAGATTAGGAGACTGTTTTATTCTCGGCCGCCGAGGGCGCAACCCATGGCGCAACCAATCGGAGACTGTTTCTACACGGCAGGCTTTCGCCATTCCGCTGGCATCCCTGTGGCAGGGTCAGTGACCTGGTCCGGTGTTGAGCCTCTCTCTTGAACCGCAAGCGGGCCAGCGAGGGCGTCGAGGACCGAGGTGCCAGGAGAAGACGGATGAGCAGGAGGAGGAACAGGAGAAACGAGGACGAGGTCCTAGACGAGGAGGATGAGGAGGAGGACGAGGAGGAGAAAGACGACGACGATCAGGATTGGGAGGAAGACGGGGAGGAATACGAGTAGTACGTGGACGAAGTGTGGGCATTCGAATGCGTGCGGGGCTACGCCTGATTTATGCTCGCCGTTTGGGCTGGCAGCGGGGCCCAAGCGGCAAGCTGTCTTGTGATTATTTGCAGTAGTACCATTCTCATGAACATTATCATTATCATTAGCATTGTCATCATCATCATCAGTATCATCATCGTCATATCATCATCGTCATCAGCGTCAGCACCAGCATCATCATCATCATCATCGCCAGCGTCATCAGCATCATCATACTTATCACCACCAGCAGCATCATCTGCATCCCCATCATCATAGCCACCATCGTCATCATCACCGCTGTTGTCATCATCATTGTTGTCTTTCTCATCAACAACACCATTTGCTCATCAACACCACCGCTAACGCAATCATCGCCATAGTTTGAGTAGCGACCCTGACTGTGACCCTGGGGAGGAGGAGGAGGAGGAGGAGGATGAGAAGGAGGAGGAGGAGGGAGGTGATTGTGAGGAGTCGGCGCGGTCGGGGTAATTATTGACTGCGCGAAGATCCTCACATGTGCATCTCATACATACTCCTGTCACGTTTTCCTGAAGAGCTCTGTCTGTGAGCACCTGGGTGTGATGGCGAGTCAGCGTGGACGACGGGTGCGACAACGACGACGACGACGACGAAAGCAACGACTTCAGTGACGTCCTTCTTCTTTTGACATCTTCCAGGAGAGGTGAGGGAAGTACCAATGGAAGAGCGATGGGGGCATTGGACCACCAACGGAGCGAAGACTGAGTGAATATGAGTATGAGTGATCTGAGTGTGAGTGGGTCTGAGTGTGAGTGATGCCGGGTGTGGTTGAGTGCGAGCGTCTGCTAGCCAAGGTATGATAGAGTCTTGTTGCGAGTTGGCCTGGGAATGCGGAAGTCTGACTATGGGTGAGTCTGAGTGAGAGTGAGTCTGAGTATTGGCAAGTCTGGGTGTGAGTAGGTTAGAGTGTGGGTATAATGAGTACGAGTCTGAGTATGACTGGGTTTGAGTACGAGAGAGTCTGGCTGCCAGTGAACCTGAGGCTGGGTGGGGTTGGGTGTGAGTGATTATGAGAGTGGTCGAGTCTGGATGTGAGTTAGTTTGAGCATGAGTATGATGACTATTAGTCTGAATCTGATTTGGCCTGAGTACGAGTGAGCCTGACTACGAGTGAGTCTGAGGGTGGGTGGGACTAAGTCCGAGTGGGTGTGAGTGTGCGTACGTCTGAGTTTGAGCGGGTCTGAGTATGAGTATGATGAGTATGAGTCTGCATACGAGTGAGTCTGAGCACGAGTGGTTCTGAGCAAAAGTGGGTCTGAGACATCCTCGCAATCTGGGCCCTTTGGGGTGTTGAAGCCAGCGCCTCGCCCGCGACATCCTCAGAATCTGCTCTGAACGCAGACGAGCCTGGCCACCAAAACAGGCAAACCGCC